TATATGATCTAATGCGCTTTACAAAAATTGTAAGAATAAATAAACAATAAAATTATATCTAAACTAACTAAATTATAATACATTAATGATATTTATTTATATACAATTAAAATGTGATAATATATACATACAATGCGTTAAAAAATAAATGACTAAATAATTATAAAAATGCATGAATAAATAATCTAGAAATAAGATTTCTTAAAAAGACTTAACAAGATTTTTACATTTAATGCTACGCTATACTTCTTTACATTCTATACTACTCTCCTACCTTAAGWTGGTTTAATTCCTGCCTCAGTTGTTTGTTATCTTTAGTGAGCAATGAAAATTTTTTAGCCAGTAACAACATGTGTTCAGCCATGTTGTCTTGTACGTGTTTATCGACATGTTGTCGTTCAATTTGTGTTGAACATCCCTGATCCTTGAATGGACAATCCAGTATTGTCTTGGCACACTCATTTTCCATATGCCAGTCTAGGTCAATCCTGAGAACAAACAAGAGTTTCTTTTATATGTAAAGCGTATGCTACATCGATGCTTCATTAATAATTCATGAAGGAAACACAATAGAAATCATGACCATGAAGGTGATTTTATATCTGATATAGATTCGTCTTCATTTGCATAAACTTTAACGTAGTGTTTAAAAAACGAGTAGGAGTGTTTTGTCAGGTATAAAAGCCGAGTGGTTTTAGACCTGATAAGACACGATCTACGAGTTTTTTGAACTGCTTCAAAAACTAATGAACAATTTATAAGATTTTGGTTCAACTGGAGCCACCATACGCGTCACAAACATGGACTTTTATACATCGATAGCAGTTCGTATGTACCTGTCATGGACAGTTGAGGTTTATACGTCACTATCATGTGCAGTTATTCCCAATAAAGGCTCCCACATTTTCAAGACAGCATGCTAGTCTCAAGACAGGATTGCTAGTCAATTAGATTTCGTGGGTCGTCTGTGATCGTATGTGAGACAGACCTTGATGAGGTTCTAAGTCTTTATCTAAATTTGGATATACTTTTATCTCTGATAACCTTTATCTCTGATAAAGTCGTCCTTATTAGTATTCTTTATATAAAGAATACTAGTGTAGAGTTCTTTATCGGATATAAAGATCCACGCACGTTACGTGTTTGGTGGCTCCAATTGGACCAAATCATCCTTATTAGTATTCTTTAATTAAAGAATACTAATGATGAGGACTTTATCGGGTATAAAGGTCCATGCACGTGACGTGTATGGTGGCTCCAATTGGACCAAAGGCTTATGAATTATTTATGAGTTTTTGAATTGGATTTTCTCTATCAAACTTCGTTCATTTCGTAAAGAATTCAGTACGGCTACGCCTCGTGTTTTTAAATCCTGATAAAACACTCCTGCGAGTTTATTAAACAGTACATTAAAAAATCTGCCTCAGTTGGATTCTCGCGGGACTCGAACCACTGACCTCTCGCCTGCTAGACGAGATCTCAACCGCTCTGGAAGCTTTACGGTAGTAGGTTGTGTTACATCTATATTTTAAATCAAATCCGCGCGTGATCTTTTACCCAACACCACACGGGACGAACAATGTTCGGAACCCGCTCGGAATATCGGTTAATCAACGGAATTTTTATTAATTGTGAATTTATGAAATGTGTTTTTGTCACTCGGTACAGATCTATATGTAAAGTG